CCCTCCTGGCCTTCCCTGCTTGGGAAAGGAGGAAAACGGGGCAAGTTTGGGGCGAGTTTCTTCAGCCCCTCCTGCTCCCGGGGATGCTGGTTCGCCGTCTCCGCCGAGTTGTAGGAATTCCATAGGGAATACACAGGAATGAGATCCTCGGTATCCCCTCGCGGTGGGCTCATTTGTGCTTCCCGTTTCCTGCAGCAACAAGACAAGACGTCGTCCAACCTGCACGAGGCGGCGTCGGACTGCGTGTGCTCGGCGCTCTACGCCATCGAGAACGTGGAGACCAACCTGCCCCTGGCCCTGCAGCTCTTCCAGGGCGTCCTCACCCTCGAGACCGCCTACCACATGGCCGTGGCACGGGAGGACCTGGACAAGTAAGTGGCCCTGCTGGAATGCTGCGGGAATCCTGGAATCCTGGAATGGCTGAGGGTGGAAGGGACCTCTAGGGATCCCCCAGTGCAGCCCCTGCTCCAGCAGGGACGCCCAGAGCACGGGGCACAGGGTGGCATCCAGGCGGGTTGGACATCTCCAGAGAAGGAGCCTCCACAGCCTCTCTGGGCAGCCTGTGCCAGGGCTCTGGCACCCTCACACCAAGGAAGTTCTTCCTCACGTGGAGGTCGAACTTCCCATGTTTCAACTTGCACCCATGACCCCTTGTCTGGTACAAGTTGCATCTTCCCAACTTGGTCGAGATGCTGCTTTTAAAAGCAGTTGCTTCACGTGTGTCGGCTGTTACAAAACGCTGCTCTCCTGGTTGGAATCCTCCTGCTCCTCAGGCTCCGCTGGTTCCAGGCCAGTTTTTGCTTATTCTGTTTTGCCAATGTGCTCATTTCCTAGCCTATTTTCAGGTGGGAAGCAGCCAGCCTTCACTCTGAGCTAAACCAGCCCTGTTCTGGCCCCCCTTGGGGACAATTTGCTTTCCCTGGTGCTCCCTGTCCTCTTCCCATTCCGAGTGATCCTCTGCTCGCTCCGGGCCAGGCAGGTCCCTGCTGCTCCTGGAGGGATCCCACTGCTCCCGGAGGATCCCGCTGCTCCATTGGGACACCCGGTGTGCAGGGAACACCCGGCCTGGTGTCTCATGTCTTACGCTTGTGGCATTAGTGTCTTGGAGCTGCTCTAACTTCAATCCATCCACAAGTTTCCAAAGCTATTTTGGCAGAGATACTCATTTTTATGAACTTGTGCTCTCTGCCACGGAATCCATCCCGTTTCTCCTCCTCAGACTCCATGGCTTTCCTTCTCCTGCGCGTGGTCCATCTGGAATTATCAGCGTGGATCATGAATGTTCATTCCTCCTTTTTCTGCAGCAGACAGGGGTGAGATCAGCTGCTGGAGCTTCCCCAGCACCTCCTTCCAAGCTGGCGTTTCCCCTTCCAGCGCTTCCCGCTGCTCTCCCTGCCCGCAGGCTCCGGCCCGCGCGGCCGTGCGTTATCCCATGGAGCCCGTCTCCATGTGAGCACCATGAGCAAAGCTTTCCGAGGCCTCCTTTCTTCCAATTCCCGTGTTTTGAAGCATTGCTCGTGCCAATGAGGTGGGCCCAGTCTGATTTTGGTAAACCCGTGGTGCATTTAACCCGTTTCCCTGTCTGTATATTCCAAAACCATTGTAAAAACATGCAGCTGAGGTCAGGCAAGGGCCCTCCATCCCGTTGTAAAAACATGCGACTAGGGTCGGGCAAGGGCACTCCATCCCCATCCCAAAAACACACGACTGGGGTCGGGCAAGGAGCCTCCATCTCCATTCCCAAAAACATGCAGCTGAGGTCGGGCAAGGAGCCTCCATCCCCATTCCCCAAAAGATCTGATTGAGGTCGGGCAAGGAGCCTCCATCCCCATTCCCCAAAAGATCTGATTGAGGTCGGGCAAGGAGCCTCCATCCCCATTCCCCAAAAGATCTGATTGAGGTCGGGCAAGGAGCCTCCATCCCCATTCCCCAAAAGATCTGATTGAGGTCGGGCAAGGAGCCTCCATCCCCATTCCCCAAAAGATCTGATTGAGGTCGGGCAAGGAGCCTCCATCCCCATTCCCAAAAACACACGACTGGGATCGGGCAAGGAGCCTCCATCCCCATCCCAAACAGCAGCACTTGTGATTTGGTGGCTCTGCCTGCTGGTGTCGCTGATGGGAACGGCCAGGCCGGCAGCAGAGCTCTAGGGCAGATCTCCCCAGGATTCACTTTCTTTTCCGGATTTTGCTCGGAGAGCAGCAGTGCCCACGTCTTCCGCTCCAGAAATAAGCACGGCCTCGTGTCTGTCTCCTTGAGCCTCCTGCATCCATCCCTCCTGTTCCATAATGGGATGAGAACGGAGGCCGAGCCTTGGTTCTGGTTGTGACACAAATCCTCAATCCTGCCCGTGTCCTGAGTTTGCAGCAGTCCCAAGTGGCTTGTTATCATGCCTGGAAAACCTTGTGCTCTTCTCATAAATGCCCTTGCAGGCTCTGCCAATCTGGCAATCCCGCTCCGTTTCTGCTTGTGGAGGCTTCCAAAACTTTTGGATTCTCCATCCCAACATCCCTTCGGCGCCTCCGAGGCGCTCGTCTTCCCGCTGATCCTTCTCACGTGGCTGAAGTCCGAGGCCTCCCTGCGTCTCCCTCCCCTTGTTCCAACTGGGAATGCGAAGCCCAAATAACTCCTGCACCTTTGACTTGAAGGTTGAGGCTGTGTCATTGGGAGCCCCTCGTGCTGGGTGAATAACCAGTCTCTCAGCTTGCTGGTTACCCCTTTGGAAACTGAAAATGGCAGCAGCGCCTGTTCCTGTTAATTCTTCCGTCTGAAACCCGCCGGGTCGCTCCGTGATGCATGTGAAAGGCTGTTAAAATAACATCTCTGCTCTGCGGCTTCCTGAGGCACCCGCAGGGTTTCACCTGCAGGAGCCGCAAGGACGGGGCGCGATTAGTAGCTGTCTGGTCCAGATTTGGGGGGATATCTCCCCAAAATCCCCCCGGGTGACAGCGCTGACCACGTTCCATCACCTCCGGGCTGTGCAGCTGCAGGGCTGTGGGAAGGGGGAAGCCTTTTGGGGTGGAAACCCTGAAAACCTGCAGGTAAGAGAGGCTGCGGGTGCATCTGCAAGACCTGGAGCATTTGAGCGTAGTAAAGCTAGGAGGGTTTTGTGGCATTTCAGCTGCCACCCTCAATTGTGACTTCCCCCTAGCCGTGTCTCATGCAGCGCTGTCCCCGCTGCTTGCAGGGCGGCATCCGGGGTTTATTTTTAAAGCGGGTTTGTGTTTTACTCATCTGCAACTTTGCATCTTCCCAGCACTGAGCTAGACCGGGGTTGTTTGGTAAGCAGCCCCGTGCTGTGCTCTTCGCTATTGTGAAATTCTGCCAGATTTTCTTGGAAACCAGCACTTTCCCCGGCTTCCCACCAAAGCCGAGTTGCTCCGGGTCTCGCGTTCCGCTTCCCGAACGCCCACGGAGGAAAGCAGAAGTGGGAGCTGGTGTTTCCCCACCCTTGAGTAGTCATACGTGGAATAAGTGACTCTCGCTGCTTTCCCCCCTCGCCAGGGTGCTCAATTACTGCCGCGTCTTCACCGAGCTCTGCGAGACCTTCCTGGACAAGATCGTCTGCACGCCGGGCCAGGGCCTGGGCGACCTGCGCACGCTGGAGCTGCTGCTCATCTGCGCCGGCCACCCGCAGTACGAGGTGGGTTTTGCTGCTCCCCGGCCGAAGCAGCAGCTCTGCCGCCCATTCCCGGCCTTGGGAGCGTCATCCCATAGAATCCCAGAATGGTGAAGGTTGGAAGGGACCTCTAGAGATCATCTAGTCCAAGCCCTGCACACGCAGGGTCACCTAGAGCACGTGGCACAGGACTGCGTCCAAGCGGGTTTGGAGATCTCCAGAGAAGGAGACTCCACAACCTCTCTGGGCAGCCTGTTCCAGGGCTCTGGCACCCTCACTGTCAATAATTTTTTCCTCAAGTTTTTCTATATTTCCATTAAAAAAAAGAAAGCAATTCAATCATTTGGTGCTGTGGGCCGTTCAGTGAGGACTCCGTGGGTGCGCGGAGGCGCCCGGAGCGGCGCAGGAAGCGGGAGGTGCCGCTGCGGGTTCCCGCTGCCACTTCCCCTTTCTCGTCCCCGTCACGGGGACGGGCGCAGGCCCCGCGGTGGCGCCGGCTCCGCTCTGAGCTCGGGCCCCTCCAACCACAGCAAATCATAGAATCATAGAATTATAGAATGGTGAAGGTTGGAAGGGACCTCTAGGGATCACCCAGTCCAACCCCCTGCACACGCAGGGTCACCTAGAGCACGTGGCACAGGGCTGCGTCCAAGCGGGTTTGGAGATCTCCAGAGAAGGAGACTCCACAACCTCTCTGGGCAGCCTGTTCCAGGGCTCTGGCACCCTCACTGGGAAGGAATTTTTCCTTAAGTTCCTGTGGAACTTTTGGTGCTTCAGTTTGTGGCCTCTAGTTGTGTCAGTTGTACTGAAAAGAGACCAGCACCATCCTCTGAAGCAGAGCAGGGTTTAGCCGAGCAGCGAAGGCTCCTCCGGGGCAGCCCCTCGGGCCTTGTTGGCCACCAAAATGGTGCAGACGAGCGCGGGGTTCAGGTCAGGCTTAGGGGACAACAGCTTGGCCATTTGATGTGAAATGAGGTGACGTTGGCTCTGAAGCAAAAGCTTCAGGGCTGCTTTTGCAGATAGGTCCTGTGACAGCTTTTCAGCTTCATGCATTGAGTTTAAATCCTTCGATAGGTGATGGGTAGCAAAGGTGGGGGAACGGGTGCCCGAGGGTGCTGGTACCGGCGGGACGGAGGGCTCTGCTGCTCCCAGGGCGCTGATTCCTCTCCCTCCAAACAGGTGGTGGAAATTTCCTTCAACTTCTGGTACCGCCTGGGCGAGCACCTGTACAAGACGGACGACGCCGTCATCCACAGCATCTTCAAGGCCTACATCCAGCGGCTGGTGCCA